TCTGACTGACTACCTACCAGACCACCCCAACCCAACCCGAAGACCCGAATTTCGGGTTGGGGGGGGTAAGGGGTCCACATGTGTTTTTTCGACGTTTCCCGACCCCCCCCCACTGGAAATCGAGGGTAAATTTAGGCCTTCGGGTTGGGTTGGGGTGGTTTGGTGGGTGGTGACTGACGCCTGCTCTGGCGCTCGACTAGTGCTCGCTCAGGGCGCTGTCGGCGCTCGACCCGGCCTCCTCCTCGGCCGACGGGCCGCCTCCGGACTGCGACGCGGAGCTCTCGCCGCCGGCGGCCACCGCTCGAGGGCGCCTGCTCCGCGACATCCGCTTGAAGGCCTTCTCGAGCATCTTCTCCATCCGCTCGAGCCGATCGTCATCGTCGCCCCCGGCCTCCTCCGGCCACTGGGCCATCGGCGACGTGCTGCCCCCGAATCTGCGGATGGAGTCCACGGTGATGATGTTCGCGGCGGACGGCTCCAAGACCTGGATCCCGCCCGTCACTCCCATGTCTCCCTCGCCGAACTCCAGGCGGTCGTTCAGCTTCAGCCGGTCCAGGAACCTCTCCCAGGCCTGCCTCGAGACGGTGGGCACCACCTCCACGAGGATCTTTGCACGATTGAGGCGGGCGTAGCCAACCATATCCTGATACGTCAGCAGATAAGCACAATTCAGCTGCGCAATTAACATGTTGAGAAGGAATACTGCGGTGAAAATAATGTAGACACACACGATCGTAAACAAGGCAGTCTCGCGGCTCAGCTCGTCGAAACTCTCGGCGCCGAACATCCGGAGGCATATCCTGAGCAATGATAGTGCCGACACGGGGAGGCCTTCGAAGTGCGCGACCTCGTGGTCCAGCGAGCTCACCGCAGCCCCGAACGTCACGACGGCGAAGGAGAGGCCAATGCCGAAGAGCACGACCTCGGAAAGCACGCGCATGCAGAGCAGCACGAACGCGGATACGGTGGTGTTGAAGACTGACAAGTCCAGCGCCAGCAGATAGTACATTAGCATGGCACACATGGAGAACAGCGAATAAGTGAATCGCAGGGGATCCGCTTTGGGGCAGCGCTGCGTAAAGATACCAGACCCGCTGAAGTCGCCGTCGAAAGAGTCCATACACAGCATCACAGGCTCGATGCAGAACATTAAGAACAAGAGAAAGGTGAGCACAAGGCTGGCCACGTCCTGCCAATTGAGCAAATACATGGGAACGGGTATCTGCCCGAACCACGTGACTTCCCTGGAAGTGAAATCAAGATAGACACATTTCGTATGATAATAGATCCAGTGGCCCATGCTAAAGATGTAGATGAAGCAGCGGCATCCGAAGATACTTCCTCGTCCAGCCATGGTGCCTTCCACGTTCATGCGGTTCAGCACCGCCTGCGAGAACACGAACACGAGCAGCGTGAAAAGGAACCAGGACTTCCCGAAGAGGTACCCCCGCAAGGCGAGTTGGCTCCACAACGTGTCTGTGGTCACCACGACCACTGGGTGGCAGATGATCCTGGGATCTTTGTTCTCGTAGAGACACTCTACCACCTCGGAAAAATCTCCATCGGCATCTACTAGCAGGTGCTTGATGTAGTAATTCACCCGCCGCACCCCGTTGCTGGCCAGCCGCGACCGCCAGATCAGGCCGTCGAGCAGCACGGGCAGCACCGCTGGCGCGTCGGCACACAACCTCCGGATGATGTCTGGATGCCGCTCGAACAGGACGTCCATGCCGTAGTAGTACCGGTCACGGTCTGCTCGGATCGTGAGGAGGTCCTGAATGATGGCCTTGGCCGCCTCCAGGCTGCCGGTCTCGATGGCCCAAAGCAGCGGCGAGATGGACTGGGTGCCAACCTGGACGTTCAGCATCCACAGCGCGCGCTTCCCCCTCGGGGCGCAGCTGACGGCTCTCCGGAGCTGCTTCTCGGAATTCTGGTTAATGGCCTTCATTACGATGGTAGACCCCTCGGTGATCACGCGCGTGAGCACACGCGAGATCAGGTTGAGGGACCAGCGGAAGGCCTCCTCGGCCACGTCGTCGTCAGTGAGCCCGCGCACGACGATACAGCACGCCGTCACAAACGGCGAGAAGAGCTCGGTGGGGATGCCGTAACCCACGTGCCGCAAGCCCAGCGCCGAGATATCCTCGACCATCTTTTTCGGCTCCTTGTATATCTCCAACGTCATGGCCGTGATGCGGTCGGCTATGAAGTGCAGGCGCGTGGTGGACTGCTTGAAGTAGTCCTGCCCAGCCGGGGCCAGCTGGAAGAACTTCGAGTACACCTCGCGCCGCACTTGCGCCTGCTGCGCCTCGTCCAGGCCGCCCCAGCATTTCTCGAGAGCCTTCTCCTGCAGCATGGGCTTCCCCTGCATTGCTCTGAGCAACCTCTCAACGTTCTCCCACAGCCACGTCCAAGCCACCTCGTGCTCCGAGTTCCAACCTTTCGGCACAAGGGATCGCAGCGACGCGAGCATGACCGCCTTGTACTCGCCGAGGTTAACGGTTCCCTTGTGCTTCGCGATGCGCAGCGAGAGGATGTCACACTCCTCCTGCAGGCGGTAGGAGTTCGACACGTTCGTGACGATGGCGTCGAAGGACGAGAGCACCTCGTGCATCCACTGAGACCTGCCGTAGGGCAAGTTCACGTCGTGTCGGCACTGGCGTCGGTTCCTGACATCGCGAGGATCTTTCAAACTTGAAAGATCGGACGTGCCGTGAGCGCCGGATCGCTCAACGATGGGCCGATTCTGGGCCACGGCCGGCGCTCAACCTTACACGCAGGCGGTGGGGTCGCCGCCGGTCGGTACGACGCGAACCTGCCGTAACCCATCACAGCCGCGTTGAACACGAACATCTCCCTGTAACTGCTCGGCACGGCAGTGTTCCTCATGTTGCCGGAGGCGCCGTCAGAGTGGTCCGCCCCGTTGAGCCTCTGGCCGTCCCGCGCGGGGCCGCCGCTCTGGGCGTCGGCACCTCTGCGCCGCAGGAGTCGCCACATGCCGCCCGCCCCCGTGCTTCCCCTCCTCTGGGCCCTCGACCTGGCCGCCTGCTGCTCGTCCTTCGCGAGCGACAGGTCCGCGGCCTCGCCCGTCTGCCTCGACTCCCCCGTCGCCCGGTCGGCATTCCGAGCCTCGGTGTCGTCGGTGCCGCCCTCCTGCTCCTCGCCCCCCTCCTGCTCGAGGGCGAGCTCCTCGAGGTCCTCTTTCTTGTTGTTGGCGATCGCCCAGCTGGATGCCAGGATCTTCAGGCGGCCAGTGTACTTGACGCGGATGTAGATGTACGCTCCGCCTACGTAGTTCAAGAAGGTGCACCACCCTTCGTGCGCGACGCTGGTCATGCGCTCTCCCATCTCCACTGTAAGCAGGTCGACAATGGCCTCCCTGAAGATTACCACCCGCGGGATCGTCACCTCCAAATCGAGGTGCTGGAAGCCCAGTGTCTCCACGATCACCTTCAGGTCAGTGGGATTGCCAAGGTTGCTGATGATCTGGTTGAGGCCGTTCATGAACCTCATAGCCATGACTGCCCTGGGCGTCTTGAACATGCTCTGGATGCTGGGAGCGGCGTCGAAGATCGCCGAGTACACGGCCTCGCCAGCTGCCTCACGCGACTCCGCAGACTTCAAGAAGCTGTTCCAGGTATCCTGCACCTGCTGGATGACGTCGGCCTCGAGCACAAGCTCTGTGAACTCCTTGTCGTCGACTTGCGACGAGGAAACACCCTTGCTGATGTGCACGCCGCAGGTCTCGGCTCCGGCCTGCTCCTCTTCCGCTGCGCCTCGGGGCTTGCTGGCCACCTCCTCAATATCTCTGTGCTTGGGGTCCACTGGCATGGCCCCTGGCCGCCTCCGGAGCTTGCCCGCCCGGGTCCACGTGGCAGAGCAAGGCCGAGGCGGGGGTGCACTTACCAGGTCATGGCTGCCCCTCCCCTCCCAGCCCCTTTGATCCACGATGCCTACGAGGGCCTGCTGAGAGGTATGATGTGTCTTCGGGGAAGGCTTTGACAATTTCTCAGAAGGCCAGGGGACTCCCGAGTCTTCTGAGAAGGCCCGCCCCTTCTCACTTCCCCCCCGGGCTCGCCACCGATCCTGAAATCCGACGTTGCGCAACAATGCAACACCGCAAAACAATCAAGACCAGAGCCCTGGACCCGATCTTTACGCCAGTTTTCGAGCCGCATCGGTCTGTGAGGGTCCCGGGGCCAGACGCCTTGCCAAACCGACCGCTGTTTGGACGCCCGAAATGGGTACGGAAAGAATGGGCACAATGCCCAACAACAAATGTTGTCCCAAACCAACAGCGGCTGCTGTGGGGCAGGCGGCCTTCTGTCTCGCATGGACACAGGCCGCGGCGGCGCGGACAGCGAGTCCTGTTCAAAATGAACAGGAACTGCTGTTGAGCAATGTGCCCATTCTTTCCGAGCCCATTTCGGGCGTCCAGACGCTGGGAAACCATCGCGACGCCAGGGTCGCGAGGCCGGCCCGTTCTCAGGCTCGCGAGCGCCTCCCTGAGCCACGACCTCGCGAGGGGGAGTCGTGCGCCTTGCCCCGCCGAGTCGTCTGAGCGGCGCCTGCCAAGTCATGCGCGGCTCGGGCGTGGCGTGCTGGGGGGGCGCTAGACTTAAGTCGGGCATGTCCCCCTTCGGGGGGATTTTCGACAAAAAAAAACACCAAAACTGATCCAAGAATGATCAAAAAAGAGTCGGGGGACTATTGTTTGAGCATTGTTTGACCATTTTGGTGCATTGTTTGACTATTTTTTATTTCTCGCCCAAAATCCCCCTGTAGGGGGACAGGCCAGACTTAACGATAGACTGGGGTGGCGAAGAAAGTTGCACCTCTTGTGCACCAGAAGAGCCCAAGAGGGGCCCCCTGGCACCCAGAAGGGGCACGACAGGTGCACTGGTTGCTCCCCCCCGAGGCGCGCCGCCGACTGAGAACAGGGGCTGGCTGCCCACGCCTCCGCTGGACGGTGCGGGCGGGCGTGGGGTCCAGCGCCGCGCCTCCCGCGAGGCCACGCCGCCGTGCTGGGGGCTGTGCTCCAGGACCTGCGGCCGCCAACAGCGGGGTGTCGGGAGCGGCCAAGAGGGGGGTGTCCAAGAGGGGGGGTGCAAATCATGACCGGCGGCATGTGCGCGGCCCAGCGGGGGGGCCTGGGACGTAATGGGATAAAAAGAGGCGCCATGAAATCTGCGGAGATATCATGGCCCGCGCCATGATATCCACCCCCCCCCTAGTGATCACCCCCCTCTTTTCCGCCCCGAGGGTGTTGGGGACGGACGGGAGGTCCCCTGAGATCCGGGGAGCCCCCGTGGCAGCCCAGCAGGACCGCGACGAGCAGCTGGCGCGCGAGCGCCGGCTGAAGGCCCAGGAGCAACAGCAGAAGAAGAACGAGGGGCGAGCCACCATCCTCCTCCTCCGTCCCCATCCTCCTCCTTCCCCCTCCTCCTTCTCCTCCTCCTCCTCCTCCTCCTCCTCCTCCTCCTCCTCCTCCTCCTTCCCCATCATCCTCCTCCTCCTTCTCCTCCTCCGCCTCCTCCGCCTCGCGATCCTGTCGTCGCAATGTTTCGCGATGTTGTAGGGTTTGGGGCGATTTGCAAGGTTTCGGGCCCCAGGACCCTTACAGATCGATGCGGCTCGAAAAATGGCGCGTAAAAATCTGGTCCAGGGCGCTGGTCTTGATTCTTTTGCAATGTCGCAATGTTTTCGCAACGTCGGATCTCAGGGTCGGTAGAGAGCCTTGGGGGGAAGTGAGAAGGGGCGGGCCTTCCCAGAAGGCTCGGGAGTCCCCCAGCATTCTGAAAAATTGTCCAAGCCTTCCCCGAAGACACAGAATACCTCTCAGAAGCCCGAAGGCCTGCTGAGAAGCCCCACGGCCTTCTGAGAAGGCTTTCTCCTTCTCTCTTCCCCCCCTCGCTCGCCGCCGATGTTGGGGACGAGAGGTCGGTCGGACTCGGCGTTGCAGCAGTCTGCGAGCCGTCTTGCTGAAGCCTCCCACCCCGAGAGCCAGAGGGCGTACACGTGCTGCTACTGCCACCCGTCCCCAGAGAAAGGAGGCCCAGCCCTGAGGGAGGTGGAAGGCCAGGATGGGTGAAGGGGCCAGGGCAACAGAAGCGAGACGAAAAAATGAGGAAGAATGAGCAGTCCGCAGCGCCAGCAGACCACGGCCGTTAACGCATGAGCCAGACGCCCGCTGGAGGTTTCCGCCTCTATCACGCGTGTGGCTCAGCCTTTAGCAGGCAGCAAGTAGTACACATTGGGTAGACAGCACGTCTCACATCATCGGTTGTGCGTAGAAGGCAGGTGGGAACCAACAGCTATCAGTACCTAGCTGCGCTGGCGAGGGCCAGACCTTCCCCATCTGACTAAGAGAGCAGCGGCCCAAACCATCGGCTTCAAGCAGCAAGCGTGCGTTTGCATTGCAGGCCACCCGCGTGCTGGAGGTTCTAGCGACTCGGGAGGGCAACAGACTCCACCTTCTTCTGTGGTTCTGACGGCCGCACGTAATTAGAGAGGGGAGGTAGCGTCGGAGAAGGCAGGGATGAGGCAGAGGTAAGGAGAAGCGAGGCTGAGCTAGGGGATGGGGGCCTGGAGTGTGGGCGGCGAAGGAGACTGCACCTCCTGTTGAGGACAAACATGCCATCGCCGTTTCAAGAGCAATTGGTCCCCATCGAAACTGCAACGCACCTGAAAACGCTCGCGACAGGCCGTCGGGAACCCAGAAGTCCGGCAAAGCCCAGGGCGTCCCGCAGGCTCTGGGCACACTGCTGCGCTGCCCTGCACTGCCGTGCGCATTCACACTTCCGCCCGCTTTGCCTGTCCTGCTTTTCTTCACGCGCCTGGCACTGCTCATGTCAGAGCTCGCGCATGGCGCGACTGCTCAGCTCAAGGCAAACAGATCCGCTCAACCTGACCGAACCGATCGCGCCCATGATCCGTGCGCTGACACGTGCAGCACGTCGCGGCGGCAGCACCGGCGACACGCAATGCCCTGTCGCTCCGCTCCGCGGGGCGGATCGGAAAAGCTCGGGACGTTGACGCTCCGGGACCGCGACGTGGTTGGCATGTCGCGCCGAGGCGTGGCAGGCAAGAACCGGCGGCGCGACACGCTTCGCCAAAGTTCTCGACCGTCTCACTGTGCGTCCAGGGCCCCCGCCGAATCAAGGATTCGTAGGGGGCGTCGCGTGGCTGCCACAGCTTCGCGTGGGAAGCGCCGCTGCAAGGTCGTCCAAAAAACAACACTGAGACATGGGACCGCCTATACTCTTGCCGCCGGCTGCGCCGCCATGACCGCGGCCCTTCGGCAACGGGACAGTCAGATCGCCCACCCCTCCGCTACAGTCAACCCGTGCAGTAAGGATGCGCGGTAAGGATGCAAGGGCCTTGGACGCCCAATTCGAAGCTCTTCGAGCGGGGCGCGGCCAACGAACGTGGCGAAGGATGCACCGAGGTGGCAAGGATGCAAGGGTACCCTTGGGAAGCCTGCCCATCCTTATTATGCGAGTTGACTGTATTCCTCCTTCCATCTCCCCCCCACCCCCCACCCCGCTCCACTCCCCGACTGCAGATGCCTCCCGGCAATTTTGCGCCCCACCCGTCCTCCCTTCGCCTCCTGCCTCGGGCTCCTTTCCGCCCTCCCCGAGACCGCCGCCGGGATCTCTTGCCGCCGTCCCTGTGCCCGCTCCTAGAGCCTCGACCTGGCGGCCCCTGCCACGCGGGGCCCCACATGCGAACGACCTGCATCCCCACGTCGTCCCTCTCCGCGCTCCCGCCCGTTCCAACTCGGGCCCTGTCTCGTCTCGCATCCAGGACGACCCGTGCCTCGCGGCGCCATCGTGGACCCACGATCGGTGCACACGCTCTCCTGGGCAGGCAGGCCGCTCATCCCGAGCCTCATGTGAGCCAAATGTCGGCCTGGCCGTGCTCTGAGTCGACGCATCAATAAAACCCTCCTCGGAGCAGGGGGGGGGGGCACGAGGGAAAAGGGCTCTGAGGAGACGGGGTCCTGGGTCCTGGAGCTCTCCCCTAAGACAAGGGCCTCATCCCGAACCGCCTGTGACGGCCGAGAACGGCGAAGGGCCTCAGGACCTCGTCCTCTCAGGGCCCCTCTTCTTCATCGCAAGGGCGCACAATCGTACTCCAGATTTCGTAATAAAGGGAGGGGGGTCTCACTTCGGGGGGGGTCTCTTCCAGGCTATCTTGGAGGGCCTGGGGGGGTCTGGGGACGATGTTTTGGAGGGTTCTCCCACGGGGGAGATCTGAAATGGCTTGTCTTGGAGGGTCCAGACCCCCTCCCTTTTATTACGAGATCTGGAGTACACATCTCTCTCCTTCCTCTCCCTCCCCCATTCCTGATCTGACTGCGACTCACTCTCCCGTCCTGCTCGGGTCGGGCGAGGAACGAGGTTTTGCCTGCATTCGCTGCCCCCCGCCGAGAAGGGCGCGAAAAGGGGGAGGGGGCCCGTGCCCTGCGAGGCGGCCTGGCGGACCATGCAGCTGTACGCCAGCCGGCGCAGCCCCGCGAGTGTCTCCCACGCGCCCGCGCCTCGGGGCCGGGGGCGGCGAGTCCCCCGGGGGGGCGGGCACGGCGATGCGCGGCCAGAGGCCCGGCTGGGGCCCAGGCTCGCATGCCGGCCGGCGGCCGCGGGCGGGCGGGCGCGGGAGCGGGGAGGCGCGACCGCGGAGCGGAGCGGGAGCAGCGGGGACCGCGACGGGGGGAACGAGGAGCAACGAGGAGGACGGGGGGACGGAATAGGAGCAGCAGCAACAGGAGGAGCAGCGAGGAGCAGCGAGGAGCGCAGCGCCATCAAGGTCACAAGCATTTGTTAGGGCCGGACTCCGCAGTCTCCTGTGCGAGTGAGCATTCTGGTCAGCTCTTCGACCCCCTCCATGGGAAGCCTTTGCATGTCTTGGACAGTAACGGCGTCTACTCCTGGAGCCGCCTGGGGAACCGAACAAGAGAGGAGCGAGGAGACCTGCGAGGACTGGAGCGGGGGGACGGAATCCTCTCTAGCTCTCAGAATGGCGCGATCTATGGATATGATGAGCTCCTCTTTCGTGTGGACCGGGTCCGCCCAGGCCTTGCTCCACAACTCCCTCTTCAGCATCATGATCCAGGACGGATTTGCAACATAAGCAACTTTGATGGCACCCCCTGAGGGAGGGGCAGGCTGGGCACGAGCACGGGAGCCAGCCGAAACTGGCCTGGTGTTCCGCCTCCCCTGGAGCCAACCTCCAACACCTGCCCTGCCTCCTGACGGAGCTCTACACGCAGCCTTACCATGCAGCATCTGGGCCCTGTGCCTCGTGTCTCAGACCACTCGAACGGGGCAGGAAGAGGAGCAGCAGGAGGAGCAGAAGCGGGAGGAGGACGAGGAGGACTGTCAGTCCGGTCGAACGGCTCAGCGGGCCCCACCCATTCCCACCTAACCTGCCACGACAGGAAGGCCAGCGGTGGCACAGCTGCCAGGATGAGGGGGGGAGGACGGCGACAGCGAGCCCCCGTGATGCGGCAAGCCGTGGCCATGGCCCAGCGACGGGGGCCGACCGGCCACCGAATCCGAGGCGGACACCCCCGAGCGGCTCCGCGAGGGGCGGCAGGAACACCTCTCTGGGAGGACCAGCCTGCTCTATCCTCCCCCCTCCCCACTCTCACTCACTCACTCCATTCTTCCCCCCTCCCACCTCCCTCGGCCTCCAGCCCCGCCGCATCCCCCATCATTCCTGCCCGTCTTGCCTCTCCATTCTGAGTCGTTGTGTTCTGTTTGTGGGCAACACACCATCTCGGGCCAAGGCCGCCTTGTCTGCTAGCTCGCGCGCGGACCGTGCGGCATCATGGGCCAGGTGAGAAGATCGATCGTAAAGCAGCTCCGCAGAACCAATCGGCAGGGGTTGAGGCCCATGCTGCACCTTGCAGCGCTGTCCCCTCCAGGCCGAAGCCTCGCCTTCGTCTTCATCTTAGCCTACAGCTCCACAGTATAAACACCACTCTCCTGGCTCCTATACCTGGTCCTCTGCGCGTGCTGTGCTATACACAGAAATGATATCAGCAACTCGTTCCCAACCATTATGTGGTGCTGCGTCGTCGTTTCGAAGAGACAGCGCCCCGCGTCCCACCTCTCCTCCTCTCCCTCTCCTCCCACTCCCCTTCCTCCCGCTCCTCCCTCCTCCCGAGCGCCCAGCGCAGCACTTCACGGCCCCATAGGGAGCTCCACCGAAGGTCCCAGTGGTAGGGTTCGCATGGCGGCACTGCCTCATTTCGACACACACCCCTCACACGTTTCGTGGCCCCATAGGGAGCTCCACCGAAGGCTCCAGCGGCAGGGTCCACATGGAGGCCCCGCCCCATTTCGGCACACCACTCACACGTTTCGTGGCCCCATAGGGAGCTCCACCGAAGGCCTCAGTCAGTGGCAAGGTTCGCATGGCGGCACCGCCTCATTTCGACACAATCCCTCACACGCTTCGTGGCCCCATAGGGAGCTCCACCGAAGGCCCCAGTGGCAGGGTTCGCATGGCGGCCCCGCCCCATTTCGGCGCACCCTCACACGTTTCGTGGCCCCATATGGAGCTCCACCGAAGGCTCCAATGGCAGGGTCCGCATGGCGGCCCCGCCCCACTTCGGCACACCCCTCACACGGTTCGTGGCCCCATATGGAGCTCCACTGAAGGCCCCGGTGGCAGGGTTCGCATGGCGGCCCCGCCCCATTCCGGCATACCCCTCACTCGTTTCGTGGCCCCATAGACAGCTCCACAGAAGGCCCCAGTGGCAAGGTTCGCATGGCGGCCCCGCCCCATTGCGGTATACCCCTCACAAGTTTCGTGACCCCATAGGGAGCTCCACCGAAGGCTCCAGAAGCAGGGTTCGCATGGCGGCCCCGCCCAATTTCGGCACACCCCTCACACGTTTCGTGGCCCCATAGGGAGCTCCACCGAAACCTGTACTCAGCATGCGGTACCGCCAATTGCAAGTGGTTGGGCCCTTCGTCAGGATAAGTGTGTATGCGGTTGGCAGTCCTAGTGCATTCGGTGGTTACAATGGTGCTGCTCCAGCTGCAGAGTGGACCTCATTTGTCAGGTCGGCACTGCGCCGCTATCGTTCAGAATGGCGCTCTCGCGCCAGCGCGGGCCACTCTTGTGGATCCGAGTCCTTTTTCGTCATCGTCGCCCCCTCACTTCCCAACCTCCGCCTTCCCCTGGTCCTCCTGCTCAGCCGAATCCGTCAAACCCAGTTCCTGGTGCTGCTGTTCGTCCTCGTCCTCTTCCTTCCTCCTCCTCCTCCTCCTCCTCCTCCTCCTCCTCTTTTTTCTCCTGCCCTCCTCCTCGTTCTCCTGTCCATCCTCCTGCTCACCCGCCACTTTATCCTCCTTGTGGGCACGACGGGTTCAGGCGGCCATCGCAAGATATACTGAATGGGATGCTTTTGCACTCACTGCGCACAGAACAGCTTGAGCCAAAGCGTCAGTCACGGCGCGGCTGTGCACATGCAAGCAAACAACAGACACAGATGCAGAGAGCACAGATAGTCAGGACGAGAGGGAGCTATATGATTCCACAGCTCCCCCCACTTACTGTCGGCCTGACTCCTCGAGCCGCCGTTCGCGGTCCTGAAGATAGCGACGGCTGGCCTCACGACTGCGCCGGCCCTTCTCACCACCGGCAAGGAGGTGGGCCCTCTCCGATTCGGCATCACTCAATGTCAGAGTCCCACGGCGAATCATGTGGCCCATGGCATCGGACCCCTTGGACACATCAGCCTTGGTCATCACGTCAGTAGGATTGAGCAGATGAGGAAACCACTTCACGCACGAGCCTCGCTGGGTGAATGAATCCCGAGCGATTGCAAGGTCCACAGAAGTCCTGCGGTCCTCCTTCCGGCCAGCACAGTTCTTGGAGAGGCAGTCGAAGATAGACTTAGCGTCCGTAGCATGAACTCCAGGCAAGGGCCGGTGCAACTCACAGTTGTCACGTAGCACAGACACGTAGGGGCCGGCGTGCTGTCGCCAGTCGGCGGTCGGAACGTCCCCGAAGCAAGCGTCACGAAGAAGCAGCTGAATCCAGTCGGATTCTCCAAGGGACTGGCAGAGGGAGTTGGCCTCACCGGCCAAGGATGAGTTGGCGGCTCGACGCATCTTGGAGGATCTCCAAGAAAGTATCGTCACCTTGCTGGTCAGTCCGGCGGCCAGCTGAGGGTCAGCCACTCCTACAGCCCAAGCACATTGTATGGGCGAGTCCGTGCCGATTCCCGCCGCGTCGCTCAAGGTGAAGCTCACCACCTGCGACAGGTCGTGGCGCCAGATGGTCAGGTACTGCGAGGCGGTGTCGCGCAGCATCTGGACGGCCCGGTTGAAAACTACGATGTCCTCCACTACCGCCTGCTCCAGCTTGTTGGCGAGTATGGAGGCCGTGCCCGCCACTTCAGGACGGGTCTCCTTCGCCACCCAGTTGATCCGGTAGATGCCGGATCGGAGCTGCTCGAACTCGGAGCGGCTCAGAGACTCGTGTCTCTTGGAGCGGCGGCCCTTCTCCAAGACAATCGGATGAATCTCCTCCAATATGTACTTCTCCTGGTCCAGGCGAATGCGGTGAGCCTCCTTTCTGATGCGGCGTCCTGCAAACTCTGCCTCGTCACCTCGCCACTTGCCGAAAGTGAACCTGGCCTTCAGAGGGTCGGCCAACCACTTCGTGTGAGAGGCAACCGTTCCCAGCCAGAGATCGTCCACCTCTATCAGGACCTGACCCTTCAGGGCACCCTGCTCCCGGAGTGTCCAGTAGCAGGGCTCCATCAGCAGCTTCTTGAAGCCGAGGTCGCGAAGGTAGGAGGTGATCGTGGCGTGCCATTCCCAAGGGGCGTCGTCTAGACCATAGACGGCGACATGTAGCTCAATCAGGCACCCGTCGGGAACGTGAATGCCAGTAAGCCCCTCGCAGGGAGCCACATAGATGGGTCCACCAGCCCTGCGGAGCCGTCTCGACTGACTGAAGGCGTTCTTGCAGTCCACGATGCTCTGGTCCATGCCATGGCCTAAGAGCACGAGTCCGAAGAGCATCATGGCCTCAGACTGAGGTGTCGGAGAGTATGTCACTAGATTTTCAGTGTCAGGATCTGCAAATCCGTGCACGCACCATCTGCTCTTTGCCTTTGGGGCACTGAACGTGCCCTCCTGTGCCTTCCATCGGCGTACCATTCTGGACGATAGCACCCGCTCTGGTCGGGTGCGAAGCACACGAGTGGACTCCTCCTTGCTGAGGATCCGCAACACACTCGGCTTGTTGAGTACGCCCCACTCGGCCTCGTCCGATCGTCGGAACTCCTCGAGCTGCTGGGCCGAGAGATCCTTGAGCTTGACCTCCCCGCCGCGTGAGGAGAGCAGGGACCACTGCCCGGCGCTGTCCTCTGAGTGCTCGAAGATCAGATCCTTCCGGCCGTTCATGTAGGTCTCGATGTCCCCGCTCCAGCCGGAGTCCTCGAACCAGGAATCCAGCACCTCGCAGTAGCCCTCGAGAGCACTGAAGCCGGTCTCGTCCATCGGGGTCTCCGATCCCGCCCCCTGGGGCTCGGCCTGAGAGGAGGCTGCAGCGCTGCCCCGCTGAGATCGCCAGTTCTCGAACTCCTGGATCTGAGTGCGAACCCGACCTTCAGCCCTTGGCAGGAGCTCCATAGGTGTCGGAAGGCCAGAACCCCTGAGCTGCTCGTCGGTAGGTGCCCCTCCGGTCGCGGACCGGAGGGTGTCAGGATCCAGCCTGGCTCGCTTGAGCTCCGGGTCGTCCTCGGACAGTGAAGGGCGTCTCGACGATGCCCGCGAGCCGCCAGCGGTGGCCACCGCCTGGGAGCCTGTCTCCGATCCGGCAGGTGTCGAACCTGTCTGGGACACTGGAGGTGTCGGCTCGGCGGCTGGCTCCCTCTGAGGTCCGGCTGCGGCTGAGCCAGCACTGCCCTGTCCGAGAGCTCCAGCAGGATCCGCTGGTGCGGGAGCTGACTCCTCGTGCTCTGGCACAGGTATCAGACGAGTCACTGGACCGGGAGCCCAGACGAGTCGAGGTCTTGGTCTCGCGCCGGCGGCCTGGGTCGGAGGTCCCAGTCCTGGTGGGGGAGCAGGAGGCCCATCAGCTACTTGAGCCACAGTATCTGCGATTGCTGGAGTCGGAGCTGGAGTAGGGTGGGTGCTGGAGTCGGGAGCTGGAGTGGGAACCCTTGGAGCCTCGATGTTGTTGGTGCCCATGTTGGAGTCCTGAGGGTCCCCCTGGTGGCCTGAAGCCTCGTTGGAGCCTGCTGGTGCGACAGTCACTGGAGACGCGTTGCCCTCGGAGCTAATGGGAGCCATGGTGGCCTCTGGTGGTGGTGGTCCCTCTTGAGCAACGTCTAGAGCCCCTCCCGAGATCCCCTTAGCAAGCTGCTCGTCCAAGACGTCCCGATAGCACGTGGTCTGGATGAGCTCGGCCCCAAGAGACTCTGACTGCGTAGCAGGTCGTATCTGTTCACAACTGCATTTCCACAAGCGACTACGCACACACACCCACACTGTTGTTCCATGATGGAATATCACTGCACCTGGCCCGACCCACCGATCCCGTTGCAAACCGTATTGTTTGCGCCCTGTCTTGGG